TGTAAAAACAGGCCAAAGTAACAGATTAACTGACAAAACACACTAGACTCGGGCTCCATTAGCGACCTTAACCAATTTCACACATTCGTTGATTCATGAAATACCGTTTTTATCATTTATTGAACTTTAATACCGTGATAGGAAATAAGGTGATGGGTCCTTACTTGTTTCGGGGTCCGAACACGGCTTTCACAATGCGCCTACGGGCTGTCCCTAATTTTCCCTAAATTTTTCCCCGGGAAACTGAAACGCACTACTGGTACCTGCACGTGTTTCAAAAAATTCCAAATTAGGCCCCGGGCCCCTTTCGACCAATATCGCAATTCCAGCACGGCGGCTCCGCCGTGCTCCGGCGACGATTCGCCTCGATTTGGCCGTTTTCGGTCGAATTCGGCCACACTTGTATCGATCCTTGCGATAAAACAACCCTAGGGCCCTCGGGGGGCCAAAAAAATTACGGAAAACCGAAGCTTACCGGCGGCGGTGCTCTCGGGTGCGGCGGCTCTCCGGTGAAGTTCGTGTTTTGGTGATTCGGCTCCGATCAACTTGTAGAGAAAAGAATGGTGATCACGGTGATATAAAAATTGCATTAAACGGAGGCCGGGAAGGGCCTCATCGGAGGCAAAAACCGAGAAGGGGCACGGCGGCGCCGCTGGGTTTCGGCCGTGTTTTCTGGTCGTTTGGCCAGGATTTTGGCTCCGATTTGACCACCGGAGAAATCAGCGTGGAAAAACGAGTCGGGGGTATGAAATTTACCTCGATCGGCGGTCGGAAATCTCCCCGGTGCGGCGGCGGGTGGCGGCGGCCGGCGTCTCCGGCGTCTGGTTCGTCTTCTCCGGCGAGGGCAGGCGGCTAGGGTTTTTTTTGGTCTGGTGTGGGGGTTCTATTTATACCCTTTTGCCTTTTGATCTCAGCCGTCCATTTTGTTTTAATCTGAGCCGTCCGTACGCACGCTTGATCTGGGCCGTCCGATCGCGTGTACGCAGATCGCCAACGTGGCCCGTCCCCGGTCGACGTGGTTTTGCCACGTGGCAGGTCCTGGTTGGCCGGGACGGCTGACTGGGTCTGCTGACGTGGCTGCTGATGTGGCCCCCCCCCCCCTTTTTTTTTTTTTTTTTCTTCTTCTTCAATTTCCCGGGCGCTACAATTTCATTTCGAAATAGACGAAATTAAATTCAGTCTGTTTCAATTCTGAATCGATTAACATATATACAAATTAATTATCTTTTAACACTGATACAACCACGAGAATTCAGAAGTAATTTCTTCTATAATTGCTCATAAAGTCAAGATTCATAAGAGAATTACCATAATTCTTATTCTCTCTCATTAGTGTTACTCATAATTCATCAAAGAGGTGCTTCAACTTGTGTCTTTTGCTATATTATCCACGAAAGAGTGAAACTACCTTGAGAGTGTTGATTTTTACTTCGAACCGATTTAAACTTTTTAACATATTTTTTCAAAATATTCTTTCTCTTGTTTGACTATAAAAAATCGTTACAAAAAATTGTTAACGTAATCTTATAAAATTTTCTCAATGATAACTATGCCCTTGTATAGAATTTCAATTCGGAGTATTTAAATTCTACCTGATACTACATTGCAAATAAGTTTTTCGTTTTAGAAATTTATGTTTTAAAAATGGCCAACAATATTATTAGGCTAGTTTTGAAGTAAATTTAAAAAATTTATTTTTTGTAACGTTGTTTTTCTTCATCTTTTAGTGAAGAGATTTTCAAATCGAAAGAAATATAAATTTATAATTATAAATCTTCTTATTATTTGTTCCAACCATAGTCTTAGTTTCTACACTTATTTTGGTAAACCAATTAGAGGAGTTTGTAAAATCTACATGCCTTCTTCACATCAATCATATTTCTCTCTCCAAATAGAAACCAAGAACAAAATCCATGAAAATGCCAGAAGAAAATCCCCAATCACCTGTCTAGGCCAATCCCAAGCCAAAACCTCAACCCTTCTCTCAAAACAAACCCTCCAAACAGCTGTTGAAACATGAAGAAGAACACACCCTTTTGCGAAAAAGCTCTGAAACTCTTTGTCCTTCACAAAAGCTACCATGAACAATAAAAGTCCAACCACAAACAGAAGCAAACCAGCAAATGAATTTGAAGTTTGGATCAGCAATTGATCATGTGGTGTTGATCCGGAAAGCTTTTTAGCTGTCTCAGCACCATGACCAAGCACATATATCTCTTTGAGATAGAACATTATCAAGGATCCACATGTTGTTGCAATCAGTGAATGTAAAGCGCAGATTATAGGGAACATGTAGGAGCTCATCTAAAAAAATAAAGCCCTAATTAGTATGATCTTCTGCCTATTTTCTGAAACCAAGCTCAAAAAGTTTGGAATCTACATCACCAGATTGCAAGAACAGTTCAAAAGACCAAAGTAAACCCACCATGAACTGAATTCAGAAATTCAAGAATTTGCTACTTGGAAATAAGAAATGACTGAATTCAACAGAACCCAGATGAACCCACTATGAGTAAATACTCAACTTGAAGGTTTTGTTAAGGACCTAGAACCCCACCAAGGAAAAATCCCAAAAAGTTGAACATTTGCAATCTGGGATTTTGAGTCTCAATTTAGCAATTACAAATGACTGAATTCCTCAACAGTATCCAGATGAACCCACCGTGTAGAAGTCCTAAATTCCCAAGGGGAGTTTATTGTACCCAAAAAGTTGAAGAACCCAAATGAATCCACTAGGGAAACAGCTCCAAAAGTTGAAGAATTTGTAATCTAGAATTTTGAGTCTCAATTTAGCAATTACAAATGATTGAATTCCTCAACAGTATCCAGATGAACCCACCATGTTGAAGTCCTAAATTTCCAAAAGGAATTTATTATACCCAAAAAGTTGAAGAACCCAAATGAACCCACTAAGGAAACATAGCTCCAAAAGTTGAAGAATTTGTAATCTGGAATTTTGAGACTCAATTTAGCAATTTCAAATGATTGAATTCCTCAACAGTATCCAGATGAACCCACCATGTTGAAGTCCTAAATTCCCAAAAGGAATTTATTATACCCAAAAAGTTGAAGAACCCAGATGAACCCACCAAGAACAAATAGCCCCAAAAGTTGAAGAATTTGTTATCTGGGATTTGGGTCTCAATTTAGCAATGACAAATGATTGAACTCGACAGTACCCAGATGAACCCACCACGAACAAGTTCTGAATTCCCAAAGAACAAAATAAAGTTGAAGAACCCAGATGAAGCCACCAAGAATAAATAGAGCACAAAACTTGAAGAATTTATAACATGGGATTTTCGGTCTCAATTTAGTAATGCCGAAACTAAACAAGATCCAGATAAATCCACTATGAACAATCTTGAGTTCCCAAGATGAATATATTATACCTAAAAATTTGAAGAACCCAGATAAACCCACCAAGAAAAAGGAAAATCCTGATAAATATATGAACTGAGAGACAAAACCTTAAATGTACAAAAACCCTGATAAAATCACACAAAAATTATGCTACCTATCCAGGAATCTGAGCGCATAGCCGACAAATTTCATGAAATACCCAAATGAACCCATGATTGGAAACAACAAATCCTGACCTTGAAACGAATGGATTGAGTCTTTTCTGATCAGCTAAAACTTTAGAGATAAAGATTATATAGCGCATTCTTGAGACAAAATCCCACTAGGAAAATTGAGAATCTCAATGAGATGGGTAGAAGAATCTGATCAGATCGGGAAATGGGATCAGTGGATGGACCAAAAATAAGCTTGTGCTCTGTAGCGAGCAAGAGCTTGGCGTCTGGTTGGGATGCGTGCTATGGCCGTTGCGGGGGTTTTGGCGGGTTTTTAAGATTTGTCGGTAGCTCTTCGGTTTTTAATAAAATTTATTTGATTTTATATTTAATTTAAATATTTTTAAAGTATAATTAAAATAATAATTTTAATTTTATTAATTATTCAACAAAATTTATTTCATTAAGGCTTATATGTAATTATTGAATAATTATTTCGTTTAATTAAAAAATATTAGAAAATTTTAAGCCTTTTCATTTGGCATTTTAACCATATAATTTAATTTAAAATAGAATTAAAGAAAATTTATTTAAATTAAACAAACTATTAATAAGAATTAAAATGTTTTTTTAATTCTTTAAATAAAATTTTTAAATTTATAAAATAAACTTTTGTACTATTTTTAAATTTATTTCCAATATAATTTAATATTTTTAATATTTTTATTTTAATAATATTAATTATTATTTTAATATTTTTTCACTAATGACCGTTCGACACTGTCTACTCCCTTCTCCTGTTCGGCAATCGGCGCCACCGCCTGCAGATGCCGAAATCTCATGACGCCAAGATGACCGTGGAGGCTTTGGTTGAGGGAGATTGGGAAGTATCCTGCGTAGAATTTGATCTGAGATTGGGGAGAAAAGAAAAGAGAAAGTGAGAGGATGCAGATAAGAGTAAATGAGCTGATTGAGCACAAAGGTTGGGGAACTGTTTTCGGTAGCCATGGTTGGAATTTTCGAGATCTGCTTCTCCTCCGCATATACAGCATCTTATGGAGTATACTATCATGGATTGCTCGCTGGATTTGGGAAGACAAGGAAAGTGTGCAGGTTAAGAATGTGCTTCTTCTTTGTTTATTCTAGAAACAGGAGAGCAAAGAGGAGAAAGAGAGCTGCCTGGTAGCACCAAAAGACTCGCTAATTGGATTTTGGAAGGGGTATTAAAAACTGAAAATAGTATGTTTTTAAGTTGATTTACAAAATAATTAAGAGCTTCTTATCTGTTTCTGAAATACATGGAGTTTTGGTTGTATTCTCCGGTTTGGATATTGGATTTTTATCTTACAACGTGTTAATCTAATCCCTAAGCTTATGAATGATTTGTATTTTGATTTGTATTCTTCTCTGTCTACCCTTTATTGACATGGAAACATTATGAATTTCTATTTTTCTACGGAAAAATTCTGTTTTGGTAGATAGATAGAGAAATGGTAAGACACTTATGTTTTACCTTTTCAAAGTAAGAGTAATTGCTCGTGGAATGTGTCTAGGGAGATAAGTCAAGAGAAAGTGGGAGGATGCAGATATGAGTAAACCAGATAAGTAACTGAGCAGAAAGGTTTCTTCATGGTTGTGGTACTGTTTTTGATAGCTGGCTTTGTAGTTTTGTAGCTGGGGTAAATTCCGGAGATACAGAAAGATAATGCTATGAATTTGGATACAGGTTAATAATAGGTTTCTGTGTGTTTCTGATAGCAAGAGAACACCTAAAGGATAGCCTGATTATAGGAAAAAGATTGCGTTCTAAATTGGATTTGAAAATAGGTATTCAAAGTGAAACATATAGCATAAGTTGATTTCCAAAATAACTTTTAGGTTAATTCTATTCCAAAACATGGGGAGTTTTTCCTTGTATTCTTAGGTTGGAATATCATAGTCATATTTTATGACTTGTTGATCTAATCCCTGAGCTTCTGAATCATTTGAATTTACATTTGCATTATTCTGTATCTATCTTTTATTTCTACATGGTAACATTCTCAGCCTATCTTATTGGATTTGTAATTTGACGTGTTGCTCTAATCCATAACCTTCTTAATGATTTGCATTTGCAGTTGTATTCTTCTGTTATCTATCTTTTATTTCTACATAGGAAGATTACATTCAGGTAGACAGAATAAATAGATAGACAGATAATAGATATATAGTGGATAAGATGCTTTTATTTTACCTTTCGAAGAAATTTTTTTTCATGGACTGTATTTATTACATACATGTAGTAGACTTTTAGTGGAGCACAAACATCACTATGGTTGTGTATATAAATATACTTGCTGTTTTCATTGTTTCAATATCAACAATCTCATTCAACTTGGTGAAGTAGCAATGGCTTGTAAAACTTCTGGTTTGCTCTTTTTCTTTATAGGAGCTTGTTGTGTCTATCAATCTCATGCCTTCAAGGCTGTAGAAACCCAGGCTTCCCTCCAAGATGGAGAAACCCAGACTGCATGGCTGACTGTAGATGCTTCTGAAGAGACTGGCCGCATCATTCCTGAAACTCTATTTGGGATATTCTATGAGGTACCTTGACTTTCCTGTTTGAGAAATTCTTCCAATTCCTTCGGGTTTTTTGCAATGTTTAACAGCAGAAGAGAAAATTTGCTTATTTGATTGAGCTTGTTTACAAAATTATAACTTTGATGCTGTATGCTCTTCTCTTATGCATCCACCGCAGGAGATCAATCATGCTGGGGCTGGTGGGCTATGGGCTGAGCTTGTTAGCAATCGAGGTGAAATTTTCTATTACTTGGAGCTTTTAATAAAAAAGAATGAGCATTTTTGTCGGAAATTGGTTTTAACAGTTCTATAAAATTCACTAGCAGGCTGCAGATATATATCGTTTTCTTTTTTCTGTTTATTTTGGTATCTGACTAATGATTGTTATGATATTTTGGTTTCAGGATTTGAAGCTGGGGGCACTAGCATTCCTTCTAATATTGATCCTTGGTCTATCATTGGAGATGAGTCATCTGTAACTGTATCAACAGACCGCTCGTCACAATTTTACCGCAATCCGGTTGCTCTCCGGATGGATGTGCTCTGTGACAGTAATGTCTGTCCGCCTGGAGGAGTTGGTGTCTATAACCCAGGTTACTGGGGCATGGTGAGAACTGGTTTATACTTTATTCCTACAATTTTAAATGTTTGATATTCTGTAAACTTTCTTTCTTTTTCTGAAGAACATTGAAGGAGGCAAGAAGTACAAGGTGGTCCTCTATGTGCGTTCAATGGGAGCAATTAACGTGGCTGTATCATTCATGAATTCAAATGGCTCTGAAATCCTAGCTTCTGCTAATATTACGTAAGACATATTAATGTTTTACTCACTGTCCTGATACTGCAACAGGCAATCCATTCAATTAATCTAGAATTTTTTTTTCTATCTTGTTCTTGCAGAGCGTCTAGTTCTGATGCTCAAAACTGGACAAGGAAGGAGGTCGTATTGGAGGCAAAGGGAACAGATCCTCATGCAAGACTTCAATTGACAACAGCAACAAAGGGGGTGATATGGTTTGATCAAGTATCAGCCATGCCCTTGGACACTT